ACCCAGAAAGCTTTAAAGCTGCTTACTGGTGCGTTAGGATTGCCTTTCTAGTACTGCTTTTACTTTGGTGGGGTCCATCTCTACCCCCTCATTTGAAATCCGATTCCCCAGATAATCAATATGTGTCTGGTGAAATTCACACTTTGACAGCTTTGGCTTTTAATGGTCTCTTTAACACCTCACAGACCAATTTGATGTGTTCATCCATGGTTTCAGTGTAAATAAGGATGTCATCAAGATAAACCAAATCTCCCTTGTATAAATGATCATGGAGCACTTGATTTATCAACTGCATAAACACAGCGGAGGGCCCTGCAGTTGAAAAGGCATCACTTTAAATTGAAAGCAACCCAAAGGACAATTAAAGGCAGTTTTCCACTCATCCTCCTCCTTAATCCAGATCTGGTGGTAAGCCTCTCTTAAATCCAGCTTGGTAAAAAAAAAAAAATTCCCAGGTGGGCTAACATGTCATCAGGGGGAGGGGGTGCATATTCTCTATACTGACCACATTCAGACCTTTAAAATCCATAGATAATCTAAGAGATGCATCTTTCTTTTCTTCGAATAGCACAGGAGCAGCCACACGTGATTTGGATGGCTGAATGAAACCCCGAACTAAGTTTTTATCAATGTACTCTCTCAGTTCTTTCATCTCTCTGGGCATCATAGAGTACATCTTTGGTTAAATTCATGTGGGCCCGTTTTGGGCACTACTATCTTACTGGGAATGGCAAAAGAGGGAATGGCTGACTCACCATGGGATCCTCCTTACCTTCCTCATCACTGTTGTATGGTGCCGGCATCTACTGTGGCTCGGATCAGGGTTTGACCTCAAGCTTGGTGGGAGGGGAGGCCTCGACAGTTGAGTCCTGATGTGTCCAGTTTGTTTTTCTCTTCCCCCTCTAGGAGCTCTTCATGGCTTAGCAGTGGTGACTGGCATGCTCCTGGGTTGAGGATTAGGAGCTGGGCACTCCACAGCATGGTGACCCATCTGACCACACTGGTAGCACTTGATAGGAGCCCTGGCTAGTGCTTGGGAGACCCTGGTGGCTGCAGTGGCTTGGGGATGTCGACTATAGAGGCATTTCTCCTGGACATGTTGTGGTTTGGGTTCAGTGGTGCTTGACTTTCTGGGGCGGTCCAACTCGATGTCCAGCACCACCACTCAAGCAGTAGGTTAGGAAAACCTTGAATGATGTAGGCTTGAAGCAAGTCGCGATCTAGCCCCTACTTGAAGTAGTTGATCAGTGACTGTTCTGGCCACTGCCTCAGCCGGCTAGCAACTCTTCTGAATTCATGAATGTGCTCCTTAGTGGGACGACCTCTTTGCTTCAGACAGTGGATCTCCTTCTTGGCCAGCAGGGCTCGGGGTTCATCTTCAAAATGACCCCTCAGTTGCTGCATGAATAGATTAATATCATGCAATTCAGGAGCCCCTTCATCCATGGAGGTTGGTCACCCAGTTGGCTGCTTCCCCCTGTAAATTTGCCACCATAGCATTCACCATCATAGCCCCATCCAGATAGGCATAAGCGTAGCAATCAAAATGAGCCCACACTTGGTTTAGGAAGAAGCTTCTTGGGGTCCCCATCAAAGGTGGGCTTGATGGGAGGTGGCTCGAACCTCAGAAGAGTGGCTTGCACCTGCTGCTGGGCTTGGGCATCTTGCTGATCCTGAGGACATGGCCAAACCACTCTCCAGACTTCTCTTGGCTGGACTCTGGGATTGGAATCCTGAGGCTGCGGCAGTGGGCTTGGCTGGGATACAGGGCTTAACATCACAGCTGGCTGGGGGATGGGTGAGGTAGCCTGAGCTCTGGTGGTTGGGCTGGGACTCCAGCAAGGTGGGGGGAAGAGATGGGTAGTTCTTGGCATTCCCCTCCCCATGGTACCCACCTCCTAGGCAACAGGACTCGTATCCTTTACCTCCAGCCTGCTAAACTCGTATCCTTTACCTCCAGCTATGAACTGTGGACTGAAATCTCCACTCTTCAGAATTGTCCCATCTCATCGACCCCTTTCCTTTCTTGCTATCCACAGATGAAGAACCCTGGTATGGCAGCAATAAGAGGACTCCAGCAGATAGAGGAGTGCTCCTGTGCTGAGGGGCTGCCTCGGCTTGAAAGAGGTCCACTAGGGTTGTAGCTCCTTCCTGTGGTACCAGATTCCCAGCTTGGATCAACCTGGCCTTCAGCTGAGCCCCTGCCAGTGACACCTCCTCGGTGGCTGGAGCACCAGCTTGTGCTCCAACAGCCTGAGTTTCATTGCAGCTAGCAGAGGTTTCACTTTTCTCCTCCATTTGGAATCTTCACTGAGTCTTTACCACTCTCCCAAAAGTGAGTGGGTAGGCTGTCGGAGCCCAGCACCCCGAGAAAATGAAGTTTTATGAGACTTGGTTTAATGTCATGGTTCTGACAGACAGAGACGAATAAAGCAGAACTCTGAGGCTTGCAAATTCCTCAAAGAACATGTTTATTAGTTACAAAGTATCGGCATATCAAAAGTGAAACCAAGTCTGGATACACAAGCAACAATTCCTCAATACCAAGTTAAATGTCCCACCCACAAAAGCTGTGTAATCAACTACGTTCCCCAATATAATTATTTGGCAGGCTTTTTATGAAACGTCCAGTCTCTAGTCTTGGGAGCAGCCAATGACCTTGGTTCCCATGGGACAAACGATAATTTTGACTAGTGAAGCACCTGGGCAACCCCACTCCCTCTCTTCTATTTGGCAACCTCAAATCATAAGGAAAATGGCTGCAACCATGTCCATTTGTAAAGTTGACAACCAGATCACCAGGTCACCAGCAAATTGACACTCAGTTAAGCAGGGATTAAACCACATTAAATAAATGTTGAAAATATAATCTCATTAGTGGCTGTAGCAAAATTGTCCAAACTGATTAGAACCAACAACATGAAAAAATGTCAAAAATCGTGCATTGGCATTTATGTGAAAAGTTCAGCTTCACTGTTATCAACAATTACTAGGACCATACACCCAAAAATGTTTTAGAAAAGTTGCAGTTTGAGATCTTGTGGGATTTTAAAACACAGAGCAATATTTGAAAGTGTTACACTTATGGACTTGACTCCACTGACTGCAAACTCTCCCACCCACCCCACTGTACCTCCTGGATTCAGAAGCCTGCAGTTAGAACATGCCCAAATAAAACTCCATGACGTTCACTGTATGAGTAGAGATAATCATCATCATTGTCATTATCATCATCAACTTTTGATTATTTTCCTGTGATGGTTGGGTTGTGAACTGGTGGAACTATGGCACTCTTACACAGTTCTTTGCACATCTACTCCAAACTCCCTCCTAAAACAAAAGCATATGTATAAATATCCTTTCTTCATTTGTTCTCTGATCTGTGGCTTTTCGGAATGAACTTGAATGATTTACCTTTTTTTTTTTTTTAGAGGGAAAGCTTCCACAAGAGCCTAAGGGGAAAAAAAGCATCCACAAGAAACAACTTACAACACAAGTTTTCTCCCTTGGTCTTTTGTAGAGAGGTTTGTTTTTTCCCATAGTTCTTTGTGGAGAATTTTAGTAGCAAAGATTGGGAGAGAACCCTAAGGCTGGCCCCCATCCATTTGCCCAAATGTTCATTCACCAGCCTGCAACAGGAATGGACTGGCATTAGGTACTAGGACTGATAATAGATTCCCAATTCACCCACCCTCTCTTCATGACCAGGAATAGCCAGTCTAGCTTACAGGCTATATGAACTACCCTACTGGCAGTACTAAGTTTGTATCATCCACTCCTGCTTCACCCAACATGATAGATGAGTGAGCTTCCTCCAGGCATTCGACATTCTTTTTACATATGAAGAAGGAAGGAAGAAGCAATGTGGCTCCATTTCTTTGTTGAGTTACCATTATAAATTGACTGGTTGTTCCTTCTGGGTGAGAGGAAGGAAAGGACCCTTCTACCAGATGAAGAGCAGCAGGAGAGGTAATCTATGAGAGTTTGTTTATATGAATGTGTTGTATTGAGTGTGTGTGTGTGTGTTGCAGTTTGTAAGTAGGTTGTGGATGAGTAGACTGATGACACTGAAAGCTAATATTTCAAGTGGGGTAAAATCCTAAAGAACCTTTTATTTAAAACAGATCAATCATAGTAGAACTGATGAGAAAACTTGTAACTGAATAAAACACATGCTGGAGATGCATTTCTCCAATTGTCACTGAGTGGCTTCATAATATTGAACGCCCATAATAATTTCATCAATTATCTTACTGGGGCAGAGTTAGAGAAGGTCGGTGTGCAGAGCTGTGTTGGCAGCCCAAATGATCTATCATCAACAATGCCTCTCCATCTTTCTTTGACATCCAATGTACTGTTGGTATAGTTGGCTATTGGTTGAGGTATCTGCAGCTCAGATGCTTCATTTTCAAGGCTACCCTGGAGACTTCTCTTCAGAGGCCCATTGATGATCACTGCAGGTCGACCCACAACCAGACTCAATCCAGCAGCTTCAGATGATTCTGAAGTTCATTTAAAGTTCACTGAAGTGTTAAAAAAGCCTTTATATGGCTACAGAGTAAGCCTCCTTCAATCTATCTGTAGCAGACTTTTCAGGCAATGTCTTTAGTGAGACAGGAGGAAAGCCTCCTTCAGTTTTTCATCAATCCTGGAAAGAAATATTCTGACTTTCAGCAAAAGAGACAACAGGTTTAATCTATTACAATGACTGATTGGACTAATTCTTAATGAGAATAAAATATTCTAGTAGAAAATGAAGAAAGGGTAAAGGTGCTAATGGATTTTAGTTGTGCTTTCTTGATACTACAACCTCCTGCATGTTGATAGGAACTAGGAGCCATCACACTGGAACAAGCAGCGCCTGGATTATCTCTTCCTCCCAGACTTGGACTTTGAGGTTTAAGCTACAAAATTAAAACAATTTAATTTTTTTCCCTTTAAATTGACTGTTAAGTTCTATGTTTCTATTGGATGCGATGTGCATTCTAAGCAAGGGTAAGTTACACTGCTGTTCCTTCATCTTTTGATTTCGTAGCATGGACTCTTCCCTGAAATTTTCCAAATTGGTTTCTCAGTCCATCCTTGAACCAAATAACCAGGCCAATAGAAACAATGATGAAAAAAAAGGCACAGAATATTCCAGCAACAGAGGAGGTTTTCATATTAGCTTTAGCCTGTCCCATAACTGGAGGTGGCCCACTGTCTATGCTACCTCCATAACCTGTATTGCTACAGTCTGGAGGGGCCCATCCAACATCACAGTGACAGTGTTTAAGAGTGTTACAAACTCCCCGATTGTGGCACATTGTGACATTACAGTCATATTTCAGAATGGACACATTGACACAACTACCCTCAATACACATCATGTTATTGCCACAAGGAACACCATCTCTCACTGCTCCAATATCATTCACCTTCATCCCAGGATGGTAGTCAATGCCCCAGCAGTCATTAAATTCAGTGGAAGTTTGAATTATTGTACTGTGATCTTCCAAAGAAGGCATTTGTACAGTTTTACACTGAATACGGCCACATAGGATATCCCCAGGATTACATTTCTTGTAAATTCCATGTTTAAGCCCACAGTTGCCAAAGCGATCACCTTTATTATTCACTTCTCTGAAACATACTTCAGAAGCGACTGTTGCTTCACTACCAAATATTATTTTGCAGTGCATATCGTGAGTCGTGCAGTTCCCATGATAACAATACACGTCTTCATTGCACACGGCACCATCTTGCACGTGCACATCTTCTGGACAGTGCTCTGAAGTCCCATTGCAATATTCAGGAAGATCACAACTACTAATCTTCTCTCTGCAAATAGTTCCTTTTTGATAATATTGGCAGTTAGCACAGCACAGACCCAAGGAACAAACAGCAGTAGGGCGCAACATACAATTAGCTTGACAGCAGGGATCTGACTTGCATTGCATTTCCGACCCACAGTCACATTGCTCTCCATTTTCCACTATTTTGTTACCACAGGATTCAAATTTAAAAGTTGTGTTAGTGTCTGGAGGGACAAATAAACAGTCAGTGTTTTTATGGGTGAAATAATCCCTATAACTGCAGTTACTAAATTTATCAGTCTCTGCTGCATATGGTGCCATAATGCATTCACTCTTTTCACAATAACAAAACCGTTCATCATGTTGCATTCCAAGAACGTGTCCCTGTTCGTGGGTAAATATGACAGACATATAAAACAAACTGGGAGTTCTATAGGATTCAATAGCACTTGCCAGGTAATTGTTACATATAGTTCCAACATATGCAAGTCCTACAGTTGCCCCAAAATCCTTGTATGCAAATAGGTGACCAACATCATTCTTTAAAACATTAAGTAAATGATTTGTTCTCCATTCATTAAATAATAAAAGTGTGTCATCCGCTATAG